TTTGGAGCTTGGAGAAAGCCAAGGTGCAGCCAAGAAAAGTGGAGAAGAAGACTTCCACCATTGATGATCTTGAAGCTTTCATCATTTTCTGAAAATCTGTAAACTCTATATAATTTCATTTTGAGTTTGTATTTGAAATAAGTATGAGCAACTAAACTCTATAGCTAGGGCTTAGGTTGAAGCCCTAAACATGAATACCTTATTGTTTTGATGCTTGAGTGTATGAATTTCTAGATATTGTTGATGAATTCCAATTCACCAAATTAATCTATCCTTGATGTGTGTTTTTCCTTGGTTGGCCATCTTTGAAAGCATGCTTCTTGAGATTGTTGGGATTATGTGTATCTTCATGTTATCCTAAGCAATAAATGGATGAAGTAATAGGGTGGATTCCGAAACCCTAGTGTTTGTTACTTTTTAATTCCACTCTTTGATATTTCATCTCTGCCTTTCTCATTTAAATTCAAAGTCCATTTACTTTCATGCAATAGAAATAGGTCACTTGAAACAAATCAAAACCCCCCCCAATGTGTGTGTGAGTTGTGTGTTTGATACGTGGTGTGTCTTTGATACTGAATTTTATTTGTTTCCGTAATTGTTTTGGACTTTTGGTCCGCGTTGTGTTCTTGCATTTTCTGTTCTGAATCCAACCGTATAAAGAACGTGAATTTTCGACGTACGGTTGGAAAGTTATAGGCAAAACACTGGACATAGGTCGAAACTGGAAAAACAGAGAAACGAATCTGCCCAAAAACGACCGGTCGTTACTGTTCACGACCGGTCGCTCATCACACGTTTATTGAAATTTCGACTCTGCCGAAAAACGACCGGTCGTCACTGTTCACGCGACCGGTCGTCACTGTTCACTGTTCACGGCACTGTTCATGTCACTGTTCACTGTTCACGGCACTGTTCACAGGTGATAAACAGGTGATAAAATGGCGATAGAAAGTGCTGTTTGTGTTTTTCTCTAGTTTTCTTGTGTTGTTCCATTTCTTTTACACTTCTTTACTCATTTCTAGTTTCCCTCTTTCATTTGTGCATTTGTGGTGTGTTAAATAAGTGTTCTTTATGTACTCAAATTAGAACTTATAGGAAGCCGACAAGTTCTTCGTGGGATCGACCCCGTACTTACATAATCTATACTTCGATAGATTCGTGCACTTGCGGGTATTTTTAATTGGTTGTTTGCACATTAATTTGTGTCCTCTTAGGAATGCAACAATAAGTCTAGTAATGTCATTGCTAAAAGGCCATGTAAAGTGTAACATGCATCACTGAAGGAAGATGCATGACAAAGTTCTTCCATGTTTTCCCCCCTCATATTGGTTGCGCCTATATGGTTTAACTTCTATATCTGTCTAGTTGTAGGAATTGACAAATAATGCAGCAAAGTATGCTCGGTTATGGACAGGGTGGGGTAAAAGAGCAGCATGTCAAGGTAAAGTGCTCAAGAATGACATGAATTGAATGAATTTGGAATTTACCTTCTTTTTTGTTTTTTTTTTCAATGGGTTATCTCCGTAACTTAAATCTATTAGTCCTCTATAATAGGTATTTGGATGACCATTAAGAATATCTTGAATCAGATTTTCTATTATTTTGGTTGAATATATTACTGCTTAACTGAGATTGCATGTTTCAATTTGGTGGTTAGTTGTAATGGTTGGAAATGAAAGTTTAGTTTTATTAGGTTAAACCTTTTGTTCCACTGAAATGTCTGTCATATTCAAATTTCATCTTTAGGAAGCTTCTGCTTGGAACATTTGGGAATGATTTTATCTCTAGATGAACATATCTTATTTACTTGTTACCATTTGTCCTTATTCAAGCCATTAAAATTTTCAGTCTATATGTGATGCCAATGTACATTAGAATGGTTTCTTCCCCTATTCTTGTGTTCAGTATACCTATGTTCCCTTTTGATGCATGATAGTATCTCTTTACAGATCAAAGACGATTCCCTTTATTAAAATCGAGTATATTGTGGGCTGTGATTATTGGTATTAATGTATGATTGGATGCATCTAGCTTCTTTATTAAACCGGCGTCCTCATGAAAGGTTGGAGCTCCTATGCTTGCGAGATACAAGAGAGGTATTGCACTTTTCTCCCCTCTTGACATTGGGAATTTCAGGTGCACGTGGGTATGCTATATGTATGAATGAGATGCTACTTCTCATCTAACACGTTGTTTGAAATCTCATTTAGAATAGTTAGTATACATATCAATGCCATATGACCTAAGATACCTTCAATTTATTTCAAATTTTTTGCAGAATAGTTGTCTCATTTGATTGTTTTGTATCCAATTTTTTATCTGCAGAGAATACAACGCGAATTGATATATCTCATAGCAGAAGGGTAGGGTTGTCAAGTGCAATGAGAAAAATGTTGTCATTGGGTTTAGTTCATAATTACGACGTAAACATTTTAGAAAGTAAATTCTTACATAAGCAATTTTATACTCTGAAATTCAAGATTCTTTTATCCCCAAGATGTTGGTGGATCCCTATTTTTTGTTGTTGTATTTATGGGTTTAACTCGTATTATTTGTTATAAATAAAATCCATTTTTTTTTATTCTTGCCAAATGGGCAAATAGCAAAACATCATTAGAATGGGAGGTATCGGAAAGAATTTAAATTCTCATTCCCTAATATCACTAGTATAAATAAAAAAAAATTAAAGAAATAACTCTATCCAATACTGGTTAAATATATTATTTTAAAGGTATAGCCGCGTGGCTATACTCTGAATATATTCGAATATTTTAAAAGTATAGCCGTTCGGCGATACCCTTTAAATATATTCGATACAAACCCGATGCTTGCACTCGCAGTCAGCGATACTCTGTTAAGCGCTTCCAAGCTTCAAAGACTCGGTCTTGAGCCTCTCTCTCTCTCTCTCTCTCAACTGAAGCTTCGACTAATTTTTTCTTTTGTTTCGGCTGTTGCTTTGATTGGATTGGATTGGACTCTCTCTATGAAAATCATCAAATGTCATTCAGCTATTGAAATCTCCACCAAGATAACAACTCTGATGCTATAAGGCAGTTAGGCTGCGTCTAGGCGGCCTGGGCGGATCTAGGCGGCCTGGGCGGTTCTAGGCGGCCTGGGAGGTTCTAGGCAGCGTCTAGGCGGCCTGGGCGAGTCTGGGCGTCCTTTTTTTTCAAATGAAGACAGACAAAGCTTGCACTCGCAGTCCAATCTTCAAAATTCAAATACTCGGTCTTGAGCCTCTCTCTCAACTCAAGCTTGGTTTTTTTTCCTTCGGTTTTAGGCTGCTGCGTTGATTCGATTTTTTTTTGTGCTTTTCTGTTATTGAAGTTGGCAACGTCAGATGAACATCCAAGGCAGTTTCTTAGTATGCCAGAAGAAGCCCAGCGGCTGCTGCGTTGATTCGATTTTTTTTGTGCTTTTCTGTTGTCTTTGATAATATGTTTGCTTATGGGAGTCTCTTGGTTTTGGGTTATATAGATTCATGAGCAGTCGATGTTCATTGAGCATATTTGTATAAGAAATTTGCATCCCTTTGGGGCTTATGTTCATTGAATTCCTGTATGATTATTAGACTGTGAACATCTACCATGTTGTGCAATTTTTAAAAAATCCTGAATTAGTGGGAATTTCCAGGTTTTTATGACCTCTGGAGGACAGTCCAAAATTTGAAATTGATTTTAAAGGATGCTCACTTCACTGAGTAGTTTGAATTTCTTTTCTTTTATAATGGCTCCAGTGGCTACACAAAGAAGAGTTGGCATTGACTTAGTGCCTTTAAATTGGCAACAGAGCTTATTATATGATAAAATAGTATATTCTTATGTCCCATTAATTCAGCTTTCCTACCATTCCCTCCTCCCCTCCTCTCAAATATATTTTACCTCTGTGGTTATAACTTGCCTTCTAAGTTTTGATTGGTTTACAGGAAATTTTAGAGGGAGTAACAGACATTGACTTGGTGGTCAACCTAAAGCTTCGTGAAGAGGCTCTACTTGCAAAGTGCCTTGGAAGAAGGATTTGTAGTGAGTGTGGAGGGAATTACAATGTGGCCTGCATTGACATTAAGGGTGAGGATGGGAAGCCTGGCATGTACATGGCTCCACTTCTTCCCCCTCCACATTGTGCATCAAAGCTTATCACACGATCCGATGACACTGAAGAAGTTGTGAAGGAAAGACTCCGGATATATAATGATAAGGTATTGTTTCAGCATCTTGGGATGCTCTTTTCAGTCCATTTTAAGAAGTCAACCAACTAGTCTGGAAGATTTATTTTTAAGTTTGAAATATATTAATACTAATATGACTGAAGCACTGCCGCCCATAATATACTCCCCATTCTTCCTGCTTAGGATTGATGCCTCAGAGACTGTTCTACTTGGCATGCTCTTTGTTACTGTATTAATTCTTGCATTAAGTGTCCAGCTATGCTTACTAAAACAATCTTCTCCATGCATGAGGAGATTGCTTTGTCATTATTGATCCACTGGAACAGCATCGGCTAATAGATGGACCTTCTCCTTGTTGTCATGAGTTCACATTTGGACACTGGCCAATCAAGACTTATTTATGTCATTAGTCTTTCTGTAACCAGTCTTTAATTTTGGTTCAATTTGTAATTTGTGCGTCACATATCATGTTGTCCTTGCAGAGTCAACCCGTGGAGGGGTTCTACCGCAGTCGAGGAAAATTGTTAGAGTTTGATCTTCCTGGAGGGATTCCTGAATCCTGGCCAAAGCTGCTTCAGGCTTTGAATCTGGAAGACCATGAAGACAAACAGTCTGCAGCCGCATGATTCGTAATTCTGTACCATATACACTTTAGACAAGTTAGTTTTCCATTAGATAAGCCAAATCATTCTTTGCATGTCCTGGAAGCAGATGCATATAATTTAAAGTTGAAAGGGAAAAACTTCTATGTGCAATAAAAAAACAGGAGCAGCCCCTCATTTATCTATAATTATATAGCATCCTATTGGGGTTTCAGAGTTATTTATCTTGTATTGTTAGTTATGTTGTTTGGACAAATGGATAGATTATAGTGATTATTTTTGTGGGCATTAAAGTTTCATTGCACCACAAGTTTGCCTTTTTTTATTTATGAAATGTACAGATTCACCTGTCTTTCACATCCAATATATCATCATCCATCCATCATTTTCCAGTTTCAACTGTCGTTTCAATCCTCATATTTGGAAGGAAATGTCCAGTTTCAACTATAAGGTCATGAAATTTTTTGTTTTATTCATTTTTTATTTGTTGTGGCTTTACTAAGTTTCGGCCCCAATCATGTGCATGAAAATACCCATGAGATCAATAGTTTGAAAACATTTTTGGGGGTCCCACTTTTTGGTCTCTCCATTCGGGCTTGAATCCAATATAATGGCCTCTCATCCATAGGGAGAATCCCACGTTGGAAGGGATTCTCTTATGCACGAGGACTCTGACTAGAAACACCCTGGCTTACGTTGTCGTTCACATACATTAACAGTCTTGTTTCTCTGCTAATTGCATGCCCTTCATCCTTTCTGTAATCGCATCACAGGTTCCACTCATCACTGCAATTCCCAATATGAGTTTTCTAGTGCAAATAAAGGCCAATTTGAAAAAATTGAGTTTTCTAGTGTAAATAAAGGTCAATAGGAAAAACAAGAATCCTGGATGCAGGGGGAGATAAATAAAGAAAATCACTCGTTCTGTAAAATAAGTGTGTAACACTTTCATTTTACCCTTTAAAAAAAAAAAGGAACCCATAAAACTTTCATGAGATGATAGAACATATTTGGAGGGCAACAAGCTCAATCCAATAAGAAATAAATAAAGAAAATCACAAGGATTTACAAGAATCAAGCTCTGAATTGAAGGGGCTAGCAAATCTACTCCCACAAAAGCTTATGAAATTAAAGATTTTGATGCAAACCCAAAATCTGAAAAGAGGGCACGAATTCATGTAAAAAGATAAATCTGGTTTAGGATTGATTCATGGCAACATTCATTAATTGACATGGCATGACACATCAGTTGCCACATAAGGTGGTCAGCTAAGGTGGTCAATGTTGTGTGTCTAAATAGCATTACTCTTTCTGATATAGTGTGCCAATCCAATAAGAAATCGTATAGCCATGCGGCTATACTCCCTTTTTTTTAATTTTAAAAAATATTATAGCCGAACGGCTTTACTCTTTTGACACATCACACATAGGTGCTGGGCGAGTCTCTAAAAGTATACAGCTATACTAAATTTTTTGCCCTTTTTTTTTAAAAGAAATAGTATAGCCGTACGTCTATACCCCTCTTCCCCTTTTTTTTAAACATAGTATAATCTCGCGGCTTTACTGTTTTGACACGTGGCACCTACGCGCTGGGCTCATCTTTTTTTAAAAATATAAATAGTATAGCCGCGCGGCTATGAATTTTAAAAAGAAAATTTTATCCGGGGAATTTCGCCGGCATAGACCTGTGCCAATGAACTTTCCTCGGGAGAGGTATTTTTCTAAAAAAATTAAAAAACATATAATTAGTTTCTTTACTTTTGTTTTTTGGCCTACCTCTATAATTTAATATATTTAATATATAAATAGTATAGCCGCGTAGCTATAGCCTTTAAAAAGCAGGGGAATTTTGCCGCCATAAACCTGTGCCGACGAACTTTCGTCGGGAGAGGTTTTTAAAAAAAAATTTAAAAAACATATAATTAATTTCTTTACTTTTGTTTTTGGCCAACTTCTTTAATTTAATATATGTAATTAAGTAATATCTTAGCCTTTTTAAATCACTTTAATTAGTATTTATATTTTAATTGTTATTTAATATAAAAAAATTATAGAAAAGTTCCACGAAATAATTAATTTCTATTTACTAAGGGCCAGTTTGGCATTGCTGTGCTGTGAAAATAATCGCTGTCAGATTTGCTGTGAGATAAATCAGCTGTGAGAGAAAGCAGTTTGGCGTTTGGTAAACTTTTTGTTAAGAGTGTTGTTGGTACTAATTCTTGCGTAATCAGAAAATAATTCCCGCATAATCATTAAACCTAGCGCCTCTTCGAAACTAATTCCCGCATAATCAGAAAATGAAAGCACCTCATTAGCTGCTTTCCCTTATAGCTTTCTCTCACAGCAATTTTTACCAATAAGTGATTTTCTCATAGTTTACCAAACGGGCTGGGCTTCCCAAAATTTTTTAAAAATCACTTATTACCCCAAATAAGCAATGCCAAACTGGCACTAAGTCTTTTGTGTAATCGTTTGGGTGTCATAATTAAATTTCTCCATAGCATATATATATATATGTATTTTTTAAATAAAATAAAATGGCATAGCCGCACGGCTATACTCAGCTCTCCCCAATTGTCTCAAACTCGTATGGCCGCGCGGCTTTACTTCTTTTTTAAAATTTTAAAACAAAAAAAGTATAGCGAAGTGTCTGTACTTGTTTGACACGTGGCGCGTAGGCTCTGGGCGATAAATAGTATAGCCGATACTAGATTCTTTTTTGAATTTTTTAAAGAAATAGTATAGCCCATCGGCTAGACTCGTTTTTTAAAAACTGTTTTGACATGTGGCGCCTATGCGCTGGCCGCGTTCTTTTTTTAGTATGTAAATAGTGTAGCCGCGCGGCTATACTGTTTAAAACAGAAATTTTTATTATTATTTTTTTAAAACATATAATTAGTTTCTTTAGACATACCTGAAATCTTAGAAATTCCGCCCCGATCCTCATCTCCAAAAGAGTAACTTTATGTGCAGTATGGAGGGCAGAGTTATGGTTTTGATGTTGACTACTGTTCTTTGTAAATATAGGAACCAAATGAAAAAGATACCGCACAAATTTTGCCTTGCCTTGATAAAGACCAGATGAGCTGGAAGGTTTACACCCATTCCAATGGGCTGGTACAAACCAATACCTATAATTTGCCATGACGGGCTCTTGATGGTTGCTGCTTCCTTGATCTTCACTTTGTTTCCTGTCTTGGCCGTTTTGAGCAGTGCTTTCATGCCCCTTTCCCTTTTCATAAGAAATAACAATACTACCTCTTTCTTGATTCTTCTAACCTGTTAGCTGATAGGATAGCCTTCTCTAGTGAAACTTAAATCTGGTATTTTGTTATTCAAAACTGGCATTTGCACCATTAGATGGTTTGAATAAAGTATTTGTCATGGCCTTATTGCCTTTGTTGATTTTCGGATCCTTCCTGTTTTGATGTTCGTTTCTTTTTGGATGGATTTGACCTCATGCTGAGATTCGTATATAAAAACCTCATACACAAGATGGTAAACATTGCAAGGGCCAAGGGTCAGAAGGAGCCAACCTGTGCTTTTGGATGATAACGTTAATCAGTTCCCTTCCTGTTGGCTTCCCACAGAGTTAGCTTGGAATGACGTCGAAATTCATGGCCGCCCTTATGTCTCCACCGAAAGAGAAGACAAAGCCAAATCATACATCAATTGAATTTGTACTTGCATGCCATGACATCTCCCAATCTGTATGTATGTAAAACAAACACAGAAGATCTGAATGCTGGTAACAATATAGTACAGAGAGATAGAGATAGGGTGATATATATTCTGTATGTGGGGGGGGAGAGAGAGAGAGAGAGAGATTATATGTGTATTGTGGTTTTCAGAGGTTTCTTGGCCTGCAAAAGCAAAATCCATTTGTAACCATGTCAACTCTGAAGGGAGAAACAAAGTATACAAGAAAGAAAAGAGTAGGGGGGTTAAGACCTAATTAACACTTACCAGTGAAGAAGAAATAAATGTGGTTTGATGGCTGGCTGCCCATATGATTGGGTGGCCTAACTTAGCTTACCCTAGTCTTGGTCTAGTACGTCAGTCAGGCAAGCCTTGCAAGCAAACAGCGTGATCCTAATAGGCAGTCCATTTGAATGTGATTGTGTTTCTCACGTCAATTTTTCATTTTCGAGTTTGAAAACTGCTTGTGAGCTGTGACTCTCTGAGTGAGTTCTGGTGCTTGTCATTCTCCCGTATCCAAAACTGGATTGACTTAAAACATAACAAAATAAAATTAGGCCCAAAAGACAACGAATTCTAGCCCAGTGAAAAATGGCATTGACTTGCAGACCAATGATCTCAAGTTCGATGTGTGTGTGAGAAACCCCCCTCCCCGTGTAGCCACTGCCACTGAATTCGGCTTGCAAATATCCATTCAAGTAGGATGCAGAATAACAAAATGAGAAAAGAAAATTCTAAGCATTTCCATTATAAAATTAGAGTTACAGCCTTCAAAGTAACAAAGCAATTGTATCAAACTACTTGTCTTGTTGTAGTTGGATCTCCGAGTATCATTACGAAGGGACAAGAGTCTCCATGATAGTACAGAACCCTAGTGAGCAGGTAAACTCCTCATTACTTGGGAGCCTCAATTGCTATGTTCACCCACAATTTGAAATTCCTCAAGCATAAATGGTCTTCAAGTCCTGCTTCCAGGATAGAAATATTCGACACTGTTTTCCTTTACTTTGAATTGGAAATTAGACAGCTTGTTTCTTGATCTCTCCTTCCCACTGTTCAGGACTGTCAACTGCAACCAACAAGAACAATGAGGATCATAACTTTCGTAATCTCGTTCAATTGCATGGATATCAAAACCATTAAGATGAGACTTTTGGGAAGTAATACTGGACAGGAAAAGTACACTTGCTAAAAGCGTAATTGGCAGGTCACCTGCGCAGCAAGCCAGCAAGCAATACTAATGGAAATAGTTCTCACAATTTTTCAATTGCTAACATAGGATTGTGATCTAGTGGACTCGGCGGAGAAGATACGACAGGTAAAAGAGAAGAGAACAAGAAAATCCAGAAAAAGGACCATGACACAAAGCAACTATCATATGTATGAGCATAACACTTAAAAAAAACAAAACTAAATATCAACCAGAGGATCAGCAGAGCATATGCATATCTTAAAAGTTTTAAGTAGCATATTATTCATTTCCATAACAACCAAGACTCAAAAAGTAAGTAACCACAAATGACGAGAGGGGACCATACCTGAATGATTTGATAGACATACTTTCTAGTTTCTAGCAATCTATCTTGGTGAAGAGATGCATCAAATGAAAAAAACATGGGTGAAAACCAGCGAACTCACTATAGGACTGTTCAAATGAAAGGAAATAGACTCTTGCTTTTTCCATATTAGAGAAGCTATTTTACAGAAAATTCAATCTGTTGAAGTGACAAAATGTGTTCCAGCAAATAACTGCCCATGCACGTCTGATGCCAAACCAGTGGCCAATGGTTCTGCTCTTATCAGAATGTCTGCTAGATACTCCATCTGTAAAATAAGGGAGGGCCTCACCGTGTCTGAATATATATCGTCATGATTGAGCATGACTAAGGAACAACCCTGCAATAAGAAAAGGTACACAAGATGAATAACTGAAGATAAGGTACACGAGATGAATAACTGAAGAAAAAGGAGTGTGGTATGAAAACCGGAGAAAATGACTGACAGTTGCCACTGATGTCTTACAAATTCTGATACTAAAGTGTGGCAGTAATGAAGAACGTCTAAAACAAGATTTGTAGATCCCTTAGCAGCCACCTCCATCAGAGAGATATCATCAATCATGACAGTGATACAGTTCTTGTTCTCTTGAGGTAAGGCACTTATAGTCTTTTGGATTTTCCCATACAAAGCAACAAGTCCACCATCACTGTTTTTTCCTTCTTCACCATCTGAAGATGAAAAAACGGAGGATTTCTTGTAAGAAATTCAATTACAAAACTAGCAATACTAACAATTCTTACATTTTTCTTTGAAAAGAAAAAAAAAAAACAATTTAACGAACTGGAACTATGGTTTATAACTTAATATCAATCCTCCACTGATTCCTACATTGTTACAAATTCAATTGCATACTGAGCAAGTATCTAGCTTTTCTACTTTGATAGCCAATAGTAGCAAGTCTTATACCTGATTTTCTCACCTGGGCAATCCACAAGCACGTCAAAGAAAAAGAATCTGTTATTGTCCCTTTGCACAACTAAGTTGCAACCCTGTTTCAAAAACACATCCAAATATCAGATATTTTCATTTATGCTTATCTGAACATTTCATCTGATAAACATGAAGCCACGAGAACTAATAATAATTCATAACAAAAATGAAATGTAAATTAACACGGATATTAGCAGCTATAGATAAAATTATGGAAATCACTTTAAAAAGACTAATTCTTTGTGAAGAGAGAGGCAGTACCAGTCTTCGGAGGATCCGATCGTAGTGAGAGAAGGGGTGAGCGAAGGCAACAAAAACGAAGACGTTGGAGGAGTGAGGAGGCTGAGAAAGAGAGCGCTTGAGAATGTGGTGCAGGACGAAAGTGGCACTGGTCTCGACGCAGTCTTCGAGGAGAACAACGCAACCACTGAGATGGAGAGACCCGAGAGCTTCGTCCAATAAGGTTCCTTGCTCCATTTTCCTCTTCTTCTTCTTTCAAGCTAAAAAGCACTGAGCTTTAGGGTTTAGGGTTTGTGAATTTGTGATTTCAACGGTTTCTTAATTTGATTTAAACGGTTTTTGGCTTCTCAAACAGTGACGTTATTTCACCCGCGCCTATACATAAATAAATAAATAAATAATGCGGTTGGGCCGACCGAGTAAAATCTCTATTTTGCTCAGGTGGCAATTTTTGACTGTTCGACCCACTGTACAGTCCTCCCTAAACCCTTTCTAGGAGATAATTTATGGAGCATTATCATTAAAGCAAACCAAACGCAAGTTAATCAAATAAACTTGGAGAGTTTTTTTAATTCAATCTTGACATGAGATGAATCAATCCAAAAAGAGCATACCACAAATAAATGCTTGTGGGAAAATATCAGGATAACGCAATACTCTCACATTCTCATGAAATTTAAAAATCAATTTCTTACTATACGAATTGTTGATCTTTAAAGTAAGAGAAACCTCCTTGTAGAGAAGAATGTAAATTGGCTTATAAATCAATAGTGGAGTCCAATTGGTTTAGTCCAATTTTTCTTTAATATATTTTTTAGGGTTTTTATCACAAATGATCCTTGAGGTTTACCAAATTATTACCTTTGGTCCTTTATTTTTGTTGTTGACATTATTGGTCCTTTATGTTACATCTCACACATCAAATTGATGTCGCCGTGAAGTTCTGTCAAATTTTCTATTAAATTGATGACGTGGCACATATATGGTGCCCACATATTCAATGATTTTTTTTTTTTTTGAAGGAGCGGGAGGGGTTTGTTACGAGCGGCGGGGAGAGTATGTTCGCATAGAGACTTGAATTTTTTTTCTTCAATTTCTATTGAATTTGGATTTTAAAGTTTGTTAATAGCTAAAATTACTAAATGCCCATGTTACGTCAGCACATTTACAGTTTTGTGGACGAAAATGAAGGGAAGTGCTAAAGTGAGAAACCATCCGTCCAGGGGTAAAACAGTAATTAAGCCTTTTTTTCTTTTTCTTTTTATTCCAGTCGCTTCTCCCCACTTCTTCTTCTTCTTCTTCATCTTATCCCTCTCTCCTTTTCACGACTTACCTTCTCCTTCTTCTCCTTCTTCTCCTTCTTCTTCTCTCTGTCCTCTTCGCGATTGACTTCCTTCTTCTTTTCCTCTCTGTATCTCATTCTCTGTCTCAGATCTGGAAAAACCTCGACGCCTCGCAGCCGCACCTCGCCGTCCCATCTTCTTCTCCTCTCTGTCAGTGTCTCGCCGAACACCGAACCAAACCACACCGAGAAATCGGCGCGCCGACCAAATCGGTTTCAAGAGCTTCGGTCCGGCGTGCGGTCTCAGAAAGTGAAAAACCGTGGCCTTGGGTTCGACGCTCGGTGGAGGCTCAACACCGAATCAAACCAGAGCGAGCCCAGGCCTAGTTCAAATGGCAGGTCCTTACTGGGTTTCAAAACACTGCCTCACTAATTTATTGTAATAAATATCTCTGTGTGACAGAGATTGCACTAGACACATTCATTTTAGTACTTTTTGGTAATTAATTGCATGCAGATGCAGTCCTCAAATTCCCGGAGAGATTTGGATGCTAGGGTCTAGGGTGTGACTCGTGAGAGTTTACCTGATGACGTCTTCTGAAATAAAATCTGGGGCATTGGTTTCATTGCAAGACCTACATCCATCTTCCTCTTATTTCAAGCAAGGGGCTTCATTGAGAGTAACTGGAAAGTAAGACTTGTGCCCTTTCAATGCTTTAGTGGTTTCATTCAATTGCATTATATAAAATATCCAGTGTTTCTTCTTCTACTTCTACTTACTTTTCAGTTACGAATATCCTCCCTGAATCAATTCTTACATTTTCGTAGTTTTTAACTTGGAAGGTTCTCTTAACTATATTTGTAGATTGGCTGAGTAGGGTACAAGTAGTTTATAGTTTAGGCTGGCTTTGTTGGTCTTGGTGACAGTGTTGCGTTGGTATCATAAACTGATGGAGACGAGTGGAGTGGTAGAAAGAAAGATGAACTAGAGGTGGAATTGCTGATACAGACATTGGAGATGTTATAATTTCAGCATTTCGTTTCGGGTTCTGTCACAGTATTTCTTGAAACGATTCTAGTCTAGTTTTGGTTCGTCTGAGAATATCATGATCATGGTATAATAGTGTTGGAGTGGATGCAGAACTGGCCAAAAAGATCTTCTGGAGGCAAATGTGGCATCTCCAGTTGGTGGCATTGAGGCACATTGGTAGCATGATGTGGATGGAGTGAGTGTAATGCTTGGAAACATGTCACTACTACAAAAAAATAATTGGGAATAGGTCAAGTGATTCAAATAATTGGTGGCTGGATGATTGCTTCGCTTCATTGAATTTAATTGCATTTCTCATATTTATTCCCCAATATCATTAAGAAGCTTAGTCATTAGTATGTCTTGTTTCTTTCTCAGGTTACAAGAGTATTCTGTAGAGATAGCCATTGCCACAATTGTTGATGGAAGTGACAGCTTAAAAATCAACACCCAATACCTCAGGGAGCTTAGCTTTCGAGTCGGATCCATCTACCAGTTCATCGGCGAGCTGCTTATTCAACCCGATAATGGGGTAAGTGGCAAATTACATCCACCTGATGATTTTCAGTGCCGGGCTTCATCCCAACACATGAATGTTATGTTAATTATGTTAGAGCAATGAGCTCAATTGTTCTTGCTCTTTTTTCAGGCAGTCTTGCAGGCACGTGTGGGTAGGAATGTTGATGGCATTGATCTCAATCTCTATTATCAGTCTCTCCAATTGTTGAGGCAATTTCAGGCTCATCATTTGAAGAACCCAGCAACTTAAATATTGTAATTTTAAAGTCAATTTAAAGACCAAATTACCCTCTGCATCCAACCCGTCAAACAATGCAAATTGAAATCGTAATGGCAAAAAGGTCAAAGCCAATGGCCCAATGATCACTTCATTATTGAACCCAAACGAATATATTTAATCGGGCCCTCAGATTTTTCATGGATTTGACCTTCCGGAGAAAAGCTCATGAGTATTTTTTTAATATTCTTTTATTCGGCAATTGTCATTTACGAGATTTGAATTTGAGATCTCTATTTTGCTGGAGGAAATCAAATATGGTTGTACCAAATAACCGTTGGCTAAAAAGTTCAAAATTGGAATTTTCAAGAGTTTATAGTTCAAGTAATTATGAATATTTACCCTCGCATGAGACAGATTTAATTTTCCCTCTCTCAATATCATTTGTAAATGTAACAACGAAAAAGAAAATCTCCCTCTCTCAATATCTAAATGTAACAACAGAAAAGAAAGCTCAAAGATATTATTTTGGTTTCATAATCACGTCCTCCTAGAAAGTCAAAGTGATGATGAAAAAAGTTGGCAATACTTGGGCTCACCGCCGACCTAAATAGTCACACTTGTCATATTGGTCCAACCAAGTCCGACGGACACGTAGCCCAAGATCCTATCATTTTATTCATAGCCCAATATTCGAATAATAAGACAACAATAATTTTACCTTTTTTTTTTTTTTTGGTTTAGTAAAACTTCAAATTATGATTTATTTGAATTTAAAACTTGGGAAAACGCGGTTAGACAAAACTTGCTCTTAACAAAGCAATCATATCATGGACCGCTAAAGTCATGCCGAAAAGGATGTTTCCGAAATTGACAATTAATTTAATTCCCATTGCATCCCTACAATTTAATTTATAAATCAACATGAATTTTGATATAAATATAATAGAATTGGTTTGATGTACCAAAATCCTAATTTTAAATATATGCTTACCATCCATAATTAGCTGTCATTAGTATTTCTAGCTAATTTTATTTATTTATTTGGCCAGCACTATTTCTAGCTTATTAGACGTGATTACCATCCATATAATTCAAAAATAAAATAATTATTCCTAGTTGTGTATGCCTTTTTTTTTTCTTTAAATAATTTTCCTAGTTGCAATCAACTTTTGGTGTTAAGTGACTAGAGTCAAAGTGAAAAAATGGAAAACTTTTTAGACTCTGTCGGAAGACATGCAATTTTCCAAAGACAAAAGGGTACCTTTGCAAAAAGGGTTCATGAATGAAAACTTATATAGTGGAATGAATAGCGTCTCTGTGAATTTTTAACCAACTCTGCCTCTCAAGTAATATTTGAGGTAAAGAGGTAGAAGAACAAGCCATGAGTTGGTTCCTGTGTTCTGGCAAATCAAGCAAAAATGCAAAGAAGAAGAAGCAGAAGAACAAGCCAGAAGATCAGATCCCATCAATTTCAGGTATCTCCATGAACATTTGCCGGACATATTTTGGAACACTTCCAAACTCTCAATCTAGAGTTTTTGTCATTGACACGTTTAAAGAGTTAACCTTTATGAGTCAATTGAATGCATTGTTTACCACATCGATTTACTTTAGATGAATGCAGGAATGCCGTCTTTATAATAGCTTGAATCTTAAATATGTGCGATCCTTTTTTATTGTCATTTTTTTGATGTGGTTGTTATCACCCTTATTGGGTATATGCATTTGTTGGTATAAGCTAATGTGGGTTTGTTGTCAATTGGTTATTGGAATTTTGAGTTAGATTTGCTTTGGTTGTGGTTTCTCCCCGTTTGAATAGAGCTCTGTGCCATAGTTCTTGGGTAATGAATTATTTTCACTGTCAAGTTCTGTTCTTTACTGCACAGGTGCTCTACTGCTAGGGACCCTTTCGTTTGATAAAATGAATTTAATAAAGTGTGTATGTGTATTTGAGAGAGAGAAAGAGAGAGAGAGAGAGAGAGAGATTATGATAAATTATTGCCTCAGTTGCTCTTAGTTTCATTTCCTTGAAACCCACTTATTTGGATTATGGAAAATTTAATTTTACACTGGTTATGAGTTCCAATCTACTCTACTTCTTCATCAGTTTTGATTGATAGGCATGCATTGCTTTAGAACAAGTTTCTGTGGTGTTTTGCTATTTTGAGTTGAATGCTGTTGATGGACGTACGTGGATAATGTTTATGATGATGAATTGCCCGTTTTGTATCATTGGAAATATCCAAGCTTAAATTATTGCCGCTACATGTTTTGTCTTTTGTGAATCTCGTTCTCTTTCAAAACTCTCAATGATGTTTGTATGACTTTTTTGGATTATGATGTAATCCATGTTTCTTTTGGATTTTATTGCACAGTATACTGTTTTTGTATTGTTTTATAAACTTTTTCCCTTTGTTCTTTCACGTAGAACAACTGAAGGCAAATTCGGCACTGTCTGTAAAGGACTCTAAGGATGGAGGGTCTGATCACATTGCAGCACATACATTTACATTTCGTGAATTGGCAGCTGCAACAAAGAATTTTAGAGCAGATTGTATTTTGGGAGAAGGAGGTTTCGGTCAAGTATATAAAGGGCGCTTGGAGAGTACTAATAAGGTTCTGTACAAGCTTTGACCATCAACTGCATGAAAAGTTGTAGTACCTGTTTTTCCTTTTTAAAATTTTTTTATGCCTCTCATTTTCCGTGTCCAATTGGTGGTTTAACAACCTCACCTGAATTTTAAGATTTCTCGCTGGCATTGTAAATTTTTGTTTTAAAATTAAAATGAATTACATTTTTGGGGCTAAGATGACCGAATTTAAAGTCATATATTTTTGGTAAAAAACTATGGTCTTATGTAAAACTGAAAAGGTTAAGTGTTTGTGGCAAGCCTAAATCTGGACGTTCTCCAATTTAAGAGGCTCCAGTTCGCTTTCAGTCAGTGCAGATAACGTGGATATACGCATTAATAATCTTTGTTTAGTTAGTGCAATATGTTGGTGGGTTGGTTTAGTTTGCTGTGCGATTCTATCTACTTTCATTGAGATTTTTACCGTGAGTCTTAAAAGTCCTTTTGTTGTTGTTTCTCTGTGTTATGATATCTTTGTCTTTATATGCTAAGCTTTTGGTAAGAGCTGAACCTTGTTCCCTTTTGTGTAGGTAGTGGCCATAAAGCAACTTGATTCCAATGGGCTTCAAGGGAACAGGGAATTCCTTGTTGAAGTATTAATGTTAAGCCTACTTCACCATCCCAATCTTGTTAACCTAATAGGCTATTGTGCTGATGGTGATCAGAGGCTTTTGGTATACGAGTACATGCCATTGGGATCTTTGGAAGACCATCTACATGGTATATACAGCAGTAACAGCACTAGATTCAATTATTTCTTTGCCCAAAGTTCATTTTTTTTAGTCTTGAGGTCTTTCTCTCTTTGTACTTGGTGATAAATTGATGTACACAAACTATAATTGGGTCTTGCAATAGTAAAGATTCAAAGCTATAGAAATCAGTAGGATTTGACAATTATAGAACTATTTAAATTAACAGTATGAAAAATAGGAAAAAAATTACTGTATAAGATAATTCTGGAAATGATCCAAAATCATTTAATCATGCTCTTCTTAAGGTAGAGAAATCTTGCAAGCTAACCAGCTAGCCATGTTGTGGAATATTCAATGTGTCATTGGACTCAGAGTATGGGGCTTGAGCACCATTTTTATTTGTCTACCTTCTATTTGGTATCGGTAATGTTGTTAATCACCTTCTTGATCTCACATGCTGATTTATGCCAGATCTACCACCAGACAGAAAACAACTTGACTGGAATACAAGAATGAAAATAGCTGCTGGTGCTGCAAAGGGCTTGGAGTATTTGCACGACAAAGCTAACCCCCCTGTTATTTATCGTGATCTTAAATGCTCAAACATTTTACTTGGTGAAGGCTACCATCCTAAGCTATCTGATTTTGGCTTGGCAAAGTTAGGTCCTGTAGGGGACAACACTCATGTTTCCACTAGGGTGATGGGAACCTATGGATATTGTGCGCCTGAATATGCAATGACTGGTCAGCTCACATTGAAATCAGATGTATATAGCTTTGGGGTTGTTCTTTTGGAAATCATTACCGGAAGAAAGGCAATTGACAATTCGAGGGCTGCTGGGGAACACAATTTGGTTGCATGGGTAAGAGAGTTATGCCTTCTGCTCTGCTTTAATATTTTTGTTTCTAAAATCATTTTCAGGAGTAAAGTTTTGTTTCTTCTTTATATATGCTTTCAATGTATTTCACACTCAATTTTTAGATTATCAGTATTCTGTCGCATTCTTATATTGGAGACCCTTCTAATTATATACCTACTTTCTGTTTTGGTAACAGTTAGAGTTTAGAATGTTATGCAACTGTGCTATTAGTTTTGATTTTCTCTATTTGAAATATGGTATATGCAATATTGACCTACTAGACGACGGTGTGTACTAAAACTAATCCATTGGCAACACTCAAACGAATTTCCTTATGAGTTAACCCTAATAAGTAACAGCTGTACTATTTTACGAGTGAAAGCAACAATGGGAAGAACAAGCTATTTCTTGCTAAATGGCAGTCTTGCGAATTTCTTCTCATTCACTCTTTGTCGCAGGCCCGCCCCTTGTTTAAGGATCGGAGGAAATTTTGGCAGATTGCTGATCCACTGCTCCAAGGTCAGTATCCGGTGAGGGGAATGTATCAAGCTCTTGCTGTTGCTGCAATGTGTGTCCAGGAGCAGCCTAATATGCGACCTCTCATAGCTGATGTTGTCACAGCCCTTACTTACCTTGCTTCCCAAAAATATGATCCTGAAACGCGGTCAGTACAGAGCTCTCGCACAAGCTCATCCACTCCTAGACCTAGAAGGGAACTGTGAAGTTCATAAGGGAAGACTTATTTGATACAGTTCCGTGTTTGGAAGGTTGTGATGAGAACCTAGCTGTGGCACTGCTTTAGGCTTATTTTTTTCTTTCCAAAATGGGGTTTTATTTGTGATTCAGAAGTCAATTGGTTGGAGCTTAGTGGTATGCTTTGTTGGCTGTACATGAAATGGTGCCTGCTTATCGAATTTTGCTCACTCCGGTAGCAGGTGCCGTGGTGGCGCTCCCCCTTCCTGTTTTTATTTCCTCCTCCACCCTTTTCCTTCTGTCACCTTATACAAGATTCTTTTTATGTACAATTGAGCAATGGGGTTTTGTATCTATATAGAAACTGGTATCCCATAGGGTCACAGAAATTTATCCAAATTATTTTATAGGAATTTTACTGATTTGGTGAATGAATGGCCTCGTCCTTTGCCAACAGTAGGCGCACAAATCACTCATCTTAAAGCTTCTTTTTCTTTTGTTTTTGGTCATAACACTCATCTTAAAGCTTGAGTTGCAAAGTCTTTAGAAAATTGTGTGGTATGTGCCTAACTGCTCACTGCACCAGTGTTTTATGCCAATTTTACCCCTGCTCAAAATTAGTGAAAATGGCATTATTCGAAGAACATTAAAATTGCTTTAAAACTTGTTTAGATGGAAAAGGCATTGACTTGCAGACTAGTGATTGTTTGTACCCACAAAAAAATAAAAAGGAAAATTAGTTTTCTCGAAGAGAAAATTTGAACAAAATTTGTTAACTGCACCAACTTTTTATGAGTTTTATCCCGGCGCAAAAAATGTAAGGAAAATTTGAAGAGATAAATTGAGTCGTTTTTTCAACGATGTTATAATTTCGGTAAAAAAATTCCATTATACCCCACGGATAGTTTAAGCGGCCAAGAGTTTGGATTCAACAGGACAAAGTAAAAAATACGAGATTCAATAGGCTCATTTGAGCTTGATTATTATTTTATTTTGTCATTCTTTTTGTTCAGAGAGAGGGAGAGCAACATAATCGCTAATATTATTAGAAAAACACTCGTATTAAAAGGTGAATACTAAAAACTGTACGTTTATCTGATTAAAAGAAAAAGATACTGTACGCTTAGAAAAGTGTCATACAAATACATTTGACGAAGATTATACACCTATGTAAACCATATCATCAATATTTTCTACATTTTCTTCCTCCCCTACTACATGATTATTACCACTACTTTAATCAACAATCAAACAATGAATGGATAAAATTGGTTTCTCTATCGAAAAATTACAGACGATGAAAGAAATCAAAACTATAGCTCCCTGGACTGACAGGCACAGAAGGCATACTATCAAGCTTTGCAGATGAGAGTATTACTATCGGGGCAGCAAACATCTATAGGGATATATCAATACAGCCTCTGCTTTGATCTGCTCTACTCTTTATCTTCCGCTTGAAGGCCATTCGTCTCTTTTACCTCTGCGGTGGGACTCTGTCCCTCACTGATAGACTTGCCGTCATTTGGCTCCTCATTGTTAGCAGGTTTTCCCTGTTGTATTCAACAGGTGACGAAATTAGTCAAACAGCTCTATCAATCGTATTCTCCTATTGTTGCTTTCACACAATAGTTAGAGTTCATGAGTGTAACCTTGTTGCGATCACGCCAGCCAAGGCCAAATGGTCGAGATAGCAAACTGATCTTTCTTGCAGGGAACTCTTGTGTCTGGTCTTGATTGGTTTGTACGGGTAAAGATAGAGATCTGCCAGACAACCATTTTTTTTAAAATTAAACATACTAGTTTCAACTACTGAGGAACAAAACCATGCAAATCTGATTTTATTTTAATTCGTGTTACCATATGATTGTGGCTTGTATAAATGTGTATCCTTTTTAAATGAGCACATTTACATATATATATCTAGGTGTTTTAACCTATGTTGAACAGGGAAAAAGTGTTAAAAAGTAATTTTCGAAAATGAACATTTGAAATATCAATAGAGAGATTAATAATGAAAAAAATATCAAAAATCACATTATCTCAATCACAATTAAGGCAAGGACTAAATTACGGTAGACACGGAAGAAAACCAAGAGTAATGAAAGGTAACAGATTAATATTCGGAAATGAATAAAAAAAGAATGCACACAAGGTTACCGTGGAGAAGGTTGTGTTTTCTGTTGACCGGATTGATATTGCAAAGTTGCCTCCAACATTGATTCTGCCATAACAACTCTCTTTTCCATTCCTGCAAGTGCAGCTGTGGCCTCTTCATACTTCTCCTGCAAGAATTAATATATAAAATTAAAGACATATAATCTTGACCTGAAAATCGTGCACTCTGCAGTCACAGAATAGTTTGATTGAATTGCATGCGCTAAATATCAATTTCATGCAGATAATGCACAAGATAAGGTAAAGCGTTAATTAGAAAGAAATGAATTGGCTACAAGGTGCATCAAATAGGGGAAAGGAAAATGGTGAGCATCCCACATTTCTCATGTTCCATGCACCCCAAATAAACATAAATCCAAACGCTTAAATATAACAATAACAATTGCCACACAATATCTGTATTTTAGACCTTATCACACGTACACTCTAAGCAGAAAAATTCAACTTTTAGAAATTTCAGGTGGGGTTCCAGGTGGTATTGTATGTAATTCCAATGCTATTCACACAGAGATGAAAACTTTAAAAGGAGAAGAAATGTCAGGCATGCTGTTTAGTTGACAAAAAGGTGGAGCTCTCAGGAAAAGGGCGCCAGCAGGAGTTAGAGCCTAAGCTGGGATTAAGGGTTTAGGGCTTGTTTCCTACATGACCTAAGCTCCCTTTCCACACTCTATTTCCAGATTTCTCTGCAGACAGCTAAAAAATTAGTTCAGTTTTGAGCAACAAAGAGTGCAACTGAAGTTAGCAGCAAAGAAAACAATTATAAAACAGAAAGCATTCAAAAATTAAATATATATTTGGTGCCAATACCATATATGGCAATTCAAGACAGACCCCCATGGAAAAGAATGTTATGGAAAGGGACAAGAGAAAGTCAACTTGAGGAGTAAGAAACCATTTTATGCAAGCAATTTAGTAAGCTAATCTTATAAGGGTGGTTCTAACATAACGATTTCTTATCATTACATAACCAGAACATGCGTTCGGATATACGGTTATCTATGAAACCTGAAGCACTTGAGCAGCATATCTCTGTGCTGCTGCATCTTGCTCAGAAAATCTGCGAGCATCTTCTGTTAGTCTCTGCTCTTGCTCTACTCGCATTAAGACCTGTAAAGATAGTAAGTGATGCAATTACCATAACAAGCCCAAAACCAGTATGAAAAGAACAGAAATCCCAAGCATAAAAGAACAGGAAACAAAACCTGGAGCATGACACTCTCCTGTTCCTGCTTATCAGAAAGGGCTCGGCGAAGCTCAGCAACCTCTTGCTCTAATTGCTCAACCTGACACAATAAGAGATCAGAATGAAGTATCTTTACAAGTACTTTTTTTTTGGGTCAAGTGAGGTATCTTTACAAGTATAAGGAAAAATAAACACAATAAAAAAAGTGGAGAAGATTATACTTTATTAACAATCCCAGAGTAAAAAATGAAACACTAAATAGTAAAATTCCACTTTCAAGACATGAAGGTCCACAGGAAAAGGGGCAGATTCCCAAGCAAGATAACCATATCTCTTTCACTTAGAAAGCTGCAATATATAAAAGTTTTCTGGATATACCCTGGCACTCAATTGCCGACGATTATCTTGCTTGACCATCTCCATCAATGCTGTCTCCAGCTCCTCGGCTCTGAAAAAAGTGAAAAAAGGACCCATAATATCAATGCCACATTAGAAAAAATAATAACTAGCTCAAGAATATTTCGTGGTTGGAGTTGAAGGCTGTAATATTTGGTTGTTATAGTGTTTGAAGACACCCCCAAATCCTGGTTGGCCTTGAAGGGTAAAGATCAATAACTTTTCATCCCAAACTACCAAAATGAGCTATTTTAATTGTACTTAATCAAGTCAACAAATGCCATACACGGTATATATTATATACCCATTGTATTGAGGACACTAAGAGTTACACAGGCATCCAATATATCCAAAGAAGAGATCTTTGTTGAATGAATATTTATTGAATAACCAACACAAAAAACACCTAACACCAGAGAGAATATAAGAACCTGAGTTCAGCAGATCTTCTCTCCTCCAGCAGCTTGCATAATTCAACCTTCAACCATACCACCTGCACATTGAACCTAATTTAAATCTCAAAGTTGATTGTGCGGAAAATACTTTAATAACGAGCCCCAGCAACTGCATATAACCCAGAACAAAATACAAAAGTAACACAAAGGCTGTGCATGAATGTGTTTCTTTTCTTTTTTTATTACATGCAGATTAGGTGACAAGGTGACAACCCATAGACAGGCTTATTATATGATGGGAAGAAGAAAAAATATATATACACAAAGGTCTAATCAATGGGCTGATAAAATGGTAGAATCAATATGCATAATTCCACTGTGCCAAACAAAGAAGACTGTAATGAGGGTGTGGAGGGTTCAATAAGCAACCTGTTCTTGAAGATCTGGTACAGAATCTAACTCCCCATCCCCATTCAGGCTAACAAGAACTTCATCTGCATTAGTGGACCCAGACTCTGAACGTGATAAATCACCATTTGTCTGTGCATCGACTAGTCGCTCTCCTTTCTTTGTCTCAATTATCATTGATTTAGGATCTTGCTTGAAATTATACAGCTTAGATGCTAGACCTTGAGAATCCTTCCAAGCCCTAAGTCCCTTCGATCTTTCCTCGATAGCAACAAGTACAGCTGGCCGATGTTTATTTCTCAACTCTTGTAATCTAGTTTCATTTACATTTTGGTAACCCATACAAGCTGTCAATACCAGTTGACTGCTATCAAATGTAGAGCCAGCCAGTGATTGGAGCAGAGTAACTGCATCTCCAGCATCCTTGGTAGTAACCAGTGCAGGGCCTACAAGTAACTGAGCCAAATTAAGTTTCATAAACCAGAGAACATACAGGCCACTTGGTACTATATCATGTTAAAGTAACCAAGTTATATGCCTTTTTTTCTTTAGAAAACGAAAAAAATACTATTTTTATACCCAGTACCATATAACTCCATCAAAGCAAGTGCTGTTCTAAATAGCATCACGCGGTTTCCTTCAAAAAGAAGCACATCCCAGACTCGAAGAACTGAAGCCAATAAATCAAAATATAGGTAAGCTTCAACAAAGTACCTATAAAAGAACAGTTAGTTCATTATCTAAAGAAACATATAAAACCTGACCACTTTCCCAT